CAGAAACGAAAATCCAATCGAGTCCGCCAAACCACGCCGCCTCACCCTGCGGCGATGCAGCCCGCAGTCCTTCAATCTTCGGTGCCTCAAACTTCGGTGCCTCAAACTTCGGTGCCTCAAACGGCGGTGCCTCAAACGGCGGTGCCTCAAACGGCGGTGCCTCAAACGGCGGTGCCTCAAACTGCGGTGCCTCAAACTGCGGTGCCTCAAGAACCGGCGTCCCAAACTCCGCGTCCGCCAGCTGGACGAGAGCAGCAGCCAACTACCTATCTTTCGGGCGCGGGATTAAGATTGACTCAGGAAGATGTGGATCGTTGGCAAGAGGAACGGCGGAACCCCTATCGTCTACCCTCATTCGAAGACGCTTTTGGCCGATTTTTTAAAAAGACTTCCAATGATGATGAAGAAGGCAATTTCATCCTCAACGCTTATCGTATATACAGGTAGGTTATGACGTGTTGCAGAGGCCCTTGCTCAGACCTTGTATTGGAGCGATGAATGGTGCTTTGCGAGTTGGATAGGTGTAAGTGAAGGATCAAGCGCCAAGCCTTGCAGACGGACCGATTGCCCAATGGCGAGCCAAGCCATGAAGCGAGGCTACTGGGAGCCTCGAAAGGGCGCATGGTGAAAGGCTTAGATCTCAATAGAAGCTACCGCTTTTCTCCTAATGATCAGTGGCAGCAATCTAGAGTCGAGATTATTGAAAGAATGGAAGAAGAGAGTGAACTGTTCCCATATAGATTGGTCAACAAAAGGAACAAACAGGATTGCAAAGCTCGAGAGAGAGACGAATGTCATTTGTGTCCAATTAAGGGTGCCCCAATCGTTGCCAAGAAGCACCACGGCCGTAATGACGCGGCGAGTTGTGATGTGTCTGCTGCAATCGAATTCGAGTTGTCTTTATTCAGCGAGAGGCGAATCGCGAAGACATACAAATTTGCCTCTGGGGGTATTTCTTCGGTTGCCAATGACAAGGCTGCCAATCCTTCATGATGCATCTAGATCACTATCACCGGCTCAAATCGTCCAGCAATATTATGCGGTCCAATCGGTCGCATCCTCTAGGAAGCAATGCTGGACCAACATGCCACTTCACGAAGCGTGTTCGCATCTTAGATTCTCCCCTCACTGCATCTGCCCAGTGGCATCAGATGATCGCCGGTTGCACGATGTAACTCAGCCAACCTATCCTTGCGACGAGCTTGGGATCCATGCAGGCTCTACTACTTTGTAGCCCGTAGGACAGCGATATTCCTAAAACTGGGAAACCATCGCAACCCAGGCTCACTTGAAGGCTGGAGGACGAAGAAGGGTAGGACAACGCCTTGGGAACCATTTAAGCTTAACAAAGATATATGGAGCTCCGTGGATATTGTTGCAACGATCGTGAGAATCCGGGGAGAACATGGGTGCCCGTCTTGCTCCGCATTGATCGGCATCGACTCCGCTTCTTCCATGTCAGCATGCTCTTCCAAGCCCAGTCCAACAACAAGGAAGGACGAAGCGAATGTCATAGGATTCGCCCCGGCCTTTCCATCGCTCGTTGCTCTGCATAGGTGTCTTGGGTCGTTTGGTATACGCATCTCCACACCGCCCGTCACTATGAGGTAGAGAGCGAGCAGTCATCGTGGGACAACAGGAGCTGCTCGCATGCAGCGTACCATTGGGCTAAGAAAGAGGAGAGGAAGTGAGGGGAAATGACTTTGATGAGAGGAGTTGTCCTGATGGCGTAGCAGTATATAGGAGCACGAGTCTGCCCCGTCTCTGATGGAATCCAAAGTGCTGGATACAGAGGGTTGTTGCGAACTGTTGCGAAGTCCTCGGCTGAGCTTCCCATCTGTCCATATCCACGAATTGATACTTCTTTCACGCCATAAGCCCTCTTCAACAGGTAGATACGACGATCGGAATGCATCTCTTTCCGGCAGGCCTGCTCGCGCTCGCCTGCGTTGGAACTGTCTTCGCTCAGACCGGCAGCCCAGCCAGCTACAAAGTCCAGAAACCGCCACTGGACACTGACTGGACTTACAAGGTGGGCACGGATCCATGGCCCGAGTATCCCCGGCCTCAACTTCAGCGTGAAGTCTGGCAAAGCCTCAATGGGATCTGGACGTTTCAGCCCGCCGGGGCTGGGGCAGGCGACTCCGGTAGTCCTCCAGGGGGGCCACTTCAGCGCGAGGTGCTCGTGCCGTCCTGCATCGAGAGTGGGCTCTCGGGATTGCAAATCATGAACATCACCGACATGTGGTTTGCGACGAGCTTTAAGATACCGCACAGTTGGAGCGGGCAAGCTGTCATCCTAAACTTTGAGGCCGTCGACTACGAGGCAGTAGTGTTTGTGAACGGAGCCAAGGTCGGGAGCCACACCGGAGGATATTTTCGGTTCGCATTGGATATCACCAATTCCGTCAAGTTTGGTGAAGAAAACGACTTGTAAGTCAACCGCCTCTGGTAATTCGACGGCGTTGGAGCAGCAGGAGCAGAAGATCCAGCTTGGCCGACGGCAAAGATGCGTGTATGGATTCGTAGCAGGTATTGACCAGGAAGCAGAACTGTCTTCGTTCACGATCCCACCGACCTGGATGTCATTCCGATCGGGAAGCAGACTCGGAATCCGAGCCACATCTTCTACAGGTCGTGCTCCGGAATCTGGCAATCTGTGTGGCTGGAGAGTGTGCCTTCAAACCACATCACACAGCTTGACGTTGCCGCAGGCATGGATGGAACAGGTATGAAGTCATCAGGATGCCCTCCCCGGCGATGTCTAGTAGTGGCAGTCCACGTCTCGTCTAACGCAATGCTCTAGTTTGCGTAACCGTTCACAGTTCGAAGAAGCAAGGAGCCTCGGCCAAAGTGTCCGTTATTGGGCTCGATGGTCGAACTATTGCTTCCCACAGGGGCCCTTCAGATGAGGAGTTCAAGTTCAAGGTCAAGCACCCCAAGCTTTGGTCCCCATCCTCTCCGACTCTGTACAATTTGACAGTGACCCTTGCCGATGATGAGGTGTCCAGTTATACTGGGTTCCGGACAGTCTCCTCTGGAAAAGTTAAGGGGATTCAGAGACCGCTGTTGAACGGAGAGTTCACCTTCATGTTTGGTACGCTCGACCAGGGGTTCTGGCCAGACGGGCTATATGTGCCGCCCAACAGAGAAGCCCTTGTATACGATCTGAAGATGCTCAAGGGGCTGGGCTTCAACACCGTCAGAAAGCACGTAAGTGGCCCGTTGATCCGGTTGTTGCCAACGACGCAGTCAAGTAGACAGCTGACATGAGCGGTTTGTCACAGATCAAGGTTGAGCCGGACTTGTTTTACCGAGCCTGCGACGAGATGGGTTTGATGGTCATCCAGGACATGCCCAGTCTGACCAACGACGGGAGTCGGCCTCCTAACCCGGACCAACAGGCGGAGTTCCAACGTCAGCTGGAAGTACTGGTCAATGAGCATAAGAACTACCCGTCGATTGTGACATGGGTCCGTCTTTCCCCACGACCCTGCCCATAGTAGTTGAGACTGACCAAGCCATTCGTAGGTCATCTATAACGAAGGATGGGGGCAGCTCAGGGGCCCACCGTATCCTGAAGAGAAGCTTGTGGAACTGGTGCGCAGCATCGACCCCACGAGGCTCATAGACGCGACGACGGGCTGGAACGACCACGGGGCAGGCGATTTCTCAGTAAGCCGATTGCATGTCGATGAGCTCCCAGAGGAGAGAAGCTGGCTGACCAAGGCGTAATGACTTAGGACAACCACCATTACGCCAATCCGCAATGCGGCACGCCTTTCTACTCCACCCCTTCATCTCCGTACGACCCCAGCCGCATTGGGTTCCAGGGCGAGTTTGGTGGCGTCGGCCACAACGTGTCAATCGAACAGTTGGTCTTCCATATCTCCTCTGCACCCTTATGGCGTATTGTCCAGTAAGGGCGTATTTTGTGGATGCCAAGTGCCTAACAGTATTATTAGTCTTTGGAATGTCCAAGAGGCCATCAACACCATCAACCAGACGTACGAAGTCGACGCTGATCTGGCTACTTACAACTACCGCGCGGGCGTCCTGTTCCGCGAGTTTCTCGAGCAGGTGGAGCGCTATGCTTGCAGCGGCGGCATCTGGACACAGACGACCGACGTCGAAGGCGAAGTCAACGGTCTCTACACGTATGATCGTCGAGTGCTGCGGCCTGACGCGAGGCAGTGGAAGAGCGATATCAAAAAGCTGTACAGCGCTGCGGCAGGTAGGCGATGAATGAGCAGCAGTGTGGCGCCACGCGCTAATGGCAAGCTGCTTGATCGCTTCGAAAATTCAACGAATAGATGCTGTATTGAGGATGTTTGATGAGTGAAATTGACTGCTGGCTCATCGACGGAGAGGTTCCATCATTGAAGTTTTGCATGTAGAAATTGTGGTGGTGCCTCAGACATCTACTCTGGTCGATGCTGCCTTCCAACAATCGAGCATTTCTCCCATCTCACCCCACCTGCCACATGCAAACAGGCCGCTCTGCTCCTGCCCACCCGTCGTCCGAGTTCCTGGACTAGCGAGCCGCTATCCCCAAGGTGGCTAGACCAGCACTGGAATACATAAGGCATCCCTCCTTGGACCCCACTATCCCGCAATCGTATTCGGATCTTTGACCGCTAAGGCAAGTTCTGATAAAGTTTGCAAGTCGAAGAGATCAGAAGCCAGTTCATCGTCCCACAATCATGTGATAGAGCTCCTTTTCAGCATATCCGTCATGTCATGAACAGGGGTCCGATGCGACAGTCAGTTTGATTCTGCTCTTGTGAATTCAGCCAATTGCACAGGATCTTGCTTGTGACAGTTCATTCCATCGTCCAAGAGGCAGACAACGAGCCTCCAAAAATTACAATAAATACCCAGCCGGCGATTTGTGTTTCCTGACCACTTCACAACCGCAGACTGTACATTGGCTCCCTTGAGAGCCTCGTTGGTGCTCGATACCCTCCCAAATCGCTTGGACGGATTGCGCGGCGGTCTTCGACTCTCGACTTGACGAACTCGACTCGAAACGAGCAACCCCATACGCCCTTCTGCCTCCATCACTCGACCCATCTACAATTGCAGAACCTCAATGTCGAAAACATCGACGTCGCAGGTGCACACGCGCGAGCGGCGCGACCTCTACCATGAGGCCGACGTCGTCGTCGTCGGTGCCGGTGTCTTTGGCTGCGCGGCCGCGTTCGCGCTCGCAAACCAGGGACGCTCTGTGCTGCTTCTCGAGAGATGGCTGCACGAGCCCGATCGGATCGTGGGCGAGCTGCTACAGCCGGGCGGGTTGACGGCCTTGCGGAAGCTGGGCCTGGGCCACTGTGTCGAGAATATCGACGCGATCCCGTGCTACGGCTACAACGTCATCTACCATGGAGAGCCGTGCGCCATTCCTTACCCCAGCCTGAACGAGAAGGGTGAAGTGACACATGCGTGGGGAGGGAGGGGGACGGGCGGAACGAAGCAAGAAGGATGCGGCTTCCATCACGGCAAGTTCATCACGCAGCTCCGCAAGGCGTGCTTGGGCCACCAGAACATCACCGTGGTCGAGACGGAAGTTGTCAAGACGATTCGAGGAGAGCACACGGATCAGATTCTGGGCGTCGAGACGCGGACGACGGTGAACAAGGAGACTGGGGAGAAGAAGAGCGACTACTTCTTTGGCCAGCTCACCATTGTGGCCGACGGCTACGACTCCAAGTTCCGGAAGCAAGTCCTGGAAACAAAACCCGTCGTCAAGAGCAAGTTCTACGCCCTGGAGTTGATCGACACGAAGCTACCGCTGCCCTTCCACGGCCACGTCATCATCGGCAACGCCTACCCCATCCTCCTCTACCAGATCGGCACCCACGAGACGAGAGCGCTGTTCGACGTGCCCCAGGGCATTCCCGAAGCCTCGCCCGAAGCCGGCGGCGTCCGCGGCTACATTCAGAACTGCGCCATTCCCGCGCTCCCCGAGTCCGTCCGGCCAGCTGCCGAGCGGGCGCTCGCCGACGGCAAGATCCCCCGCAGCATGCCCAACAGCTGGCTCCCTGCGGTGCCCCAGACCCCGAGCGGCCTCGTCATCCTCGGCGACGCGCTCAACATGCGACACCCGCTTACCGGCGGCGGCATGACCGTCGCCTTCAACGACGCCCTGCTGCTCGCCGAGCTACTCCACCCGGACCGCATCCCGAACCTCGAGGACACGGCGGCGATCCGCGACGCCATGCACAAGCTGTACTGGCGCCGCAAGAACTTCACCAGCATCATCAACACGCTCGCGCAGGCACTGTACTCGCTCTTCGCCGCAAACGACCGCCAGCTACGCGCGCTGCAGATGGGCTGCTTCGAGTACTTCCGCCGCGGGTGGACCGACGGCCCGGCCGGCCTGCTCGGCGGCATCATCCAGCGCCCGCTCGTCCTGGCGTACCACTTCTTCTACGTCGCCTTCGTGGCCATCTGGATGAACGGCTGCAACGTCATCGGTGGTCCTCTCGGCTTCTGGAAGCTGCCTCTTGCACTGATCGATGCCGTCCTCATCTTGTGGAAGGCTTGCGTCGTCTTTTTGCCAGTCATTTGGCGAGAGGGCTTCCAATAAGAGCAAGCAATTGGCAGGCACGATGGCAGTCGTCTTCTTCCTGTCTCACTATATATATATATATATACATATATATATGTATAGATATACTTTTGTATGAGAGCATCGATGTTGGGATTTGTTTTACGTTGCCACAAGGCGACGCGCGGAGTTTCACACGGTTGGCAAAAACGAATGCATGTGGCTTGGTATTTCTCACTTCACTCTCCCCCCTTTATATAATACAGATGTGGCACGACATGAGATCTTGCTAGACGGCATGACCGGTGGGTGATCTTGATACGCCATCTAGGTACCATAGAAAAGCAGCAGAGGAGGTTTGGGCAAGGAGGGCGATGGCGCCGAGCTTTGGATGAGCAAATGGTTTTTTCACGCAGTTATGGCTAGAGCAAGATGCTAGAGACATTAGACGGTAATTGTAATACTTATTCGATCATGTATGTATTTCTCTCAACCTCTCCATGGTGTGAATCGTGTAGTCTTTATGCGGAGTTTATGCTGCGATCCGAGGGAGTCTTGGCAGTATACACTATAGATACCATCATGAACTGGTTGACTCCTCGTCAATCAAGCTCCCTGTGGCAGCAACCATGTAAGAAGGTTTCACATGGCTAGACATGGCCATCTATTTTAAAAGGCATACACATGGATGTGTGCTTTATCTGCCGCGGATTTATCCATCAACCCCTACTGATTGTCGATTTCCACGGGCTCCAAGTCTCAAGTGAGGCGCCTCCTATACACGCCCATCATCCAACTGGCCCTCAATACGGCCAATCCAATGGCCATCTTGATGCTATCCTGGATTACGTTCAGCTTGCTGCCGCCCACCTCGTGCCACTGGATGGGCACCTCGGCGACTTTGATGCCAGGACTAGTGCCAATAACACTGCCGTCGCTGCCCAAGACGGGGGTGGCGGGTGCGGACTCGGCAAGCATCAGCATCTCGATATCGAAGATCCAGCCTTCGGTATGCATGTAGGGAACGATGTGCGGCAGTGAAGCGCGGGTAAAGAGCTTGAAGCCGCATTGGGTGTCGCGGATCCGGGAGGTGGCCGGAGGCGTGAGGATGGTGAGGACGAGGTGGAATGACCGCATGAGAAAGTTTCGGAGGGCAGAGCGCTACCAAGACGAGGGGCGTTTAGCAAACACGACGGGACCACAGATGAATTATCCGTTTAGCAAGCGATGGGTGACCAAAGCAACGAACCTTGACGACTGCCTCACTACCTACGAGATGGGCACGGCTGCCAATGGCAACTCCCCGACGGGAGCCGTCAACAACCTCCTCGACGCCCTCAATCAGCTTGGCCACGTCGCTGAACCGCGATGCGCCGTCGGCGTCGGCAAACAAGGCGTACTCGCCACGCACGTGGCGAAGGCCGTGAGTTACACCACCGCCCTTGCCCCGATTCTTGACCAGAGACACAACCCGCAGCGTATCATGGAGGCCATTCTTCTGCGCAAAGTCGAGCACCACATCGACCGTCTTGTCGCGGCTTCCGTCGTCAACAACAATGATTTCGTAACCGCTGAGGCCTCGCTCCTTGGGATCAGCAACACTTGGCGCATGCCGCTTCTTGACCGGCACAGCAGGGTTCTTGGCGCCGGCGCTGCGTCCAAAGTGCTTGTCCAGGTACTCGACGGCTTCTTCGAGCGTCGGAATGACACGGTCCTGCTCGTTATACGCGGGGAAGACGACGCTGAGGAGGAGCTCGGCGGGCTCGATGGAGCCGACATCGGGTGTTGGGAACGCCTGCTCGGGGCGAACACGCTGCTCGCTGAGGCGGCGTTCTGCGAGCCATCGATCGTACCAGCAGGGAAGAGGACGCGGCGTCGTCTTGCCCGAAGGGCCACTGGTGATGTATGTCTTTTCCGAGGGAAGAACCGGGCGAGGCTTCGGGGCGACGAGGTGGAGGAGTACAAAGAGCTTCGCGCCAAGGTCAGTCACAGCCTCACAAAGGTGAAAAAAAGGAAGGGGGGAAACGACGAGGAACGCAATTGTTGGAATTGGGAGGGAGAGGGAGGTCGCATACACCGAAGAGTCCCACCAGAACCAGCGCGAGGAAGAGGCCGAGGAGGATGTACACTGGAGTCGCTCGGATCCAGGCCCAGAGGGGGGCAGGAAGCTCGAGCAGCGTTGTCGCGAGATGCATTTTCGGCGTCGGCGCTGGGCTTGCCTCGCCTCGCCGCAAAAGCGAGATGCAGGAGGAATGGACGAATCAGATGAGGCCGCGCATGCGTTTGGAAGAGAAAGTACAGGTAGAATCAAAGGTAAAAGACGAGAAAGAAGGGGACTGCAAGGGAGAAAAGAAAGGAAAGAAAGGAAAGGTGACAAGTGGAAAAGAACTGAACCTGCACCTGCAAGAGAAAAAAGAAAGATGCCAGGTGAAAAGAATGTGAGAACGCCTGGCGAATGGCTGATGACGAGCGCTGGAATCTTGCAGCTGCCAGCAGTGAGGCCACAGTTCAGTTCGAGGTGCAGGGTCGCAGGCAGGGTCGCAGGGAGCTGTATGTTCCGTCTCCATACGGGGCAAGGCTGGCCAATCACGGGCGGCGGGTTCGGCTCGTAGCGGTCCCGTTCAGTGGAGGTGACGGCTTCAGTGGGCGATGAAGAGCGCTGTGACCTAGGTACGTATCAATCAGTTGGTCGCTTATCAGTCATCTGCCAATCGGCGACCAACGCATCTCTCTACCCAAGATGACCTAGGTTAGTAGATATTATCAGATCACATCAACAAAGGGCAGCAGTTTTCTGCAATGAACGAAGCAAAAGAAATTCGTCAAAATGTATTCAAGGTATGGTGCGAATGTCGAATGTCAAAGATGAATTTCCAAGCTCAGCTAAAGATGTGGAAACAGATATTCAGAACGGAAAATAACATGAGAGGGAGATAAAAACACAGCTTGCCAATTGATATCCCTTCCAATGTATCGAAGCACCCAATTAAAAATAGATACCTGCCTACCCAGAATCAGTACATGAAAGTGTCCAAGGAGGAGAAAAGAGAAAGGCTGATCGCTGATTCAAAGGCGCGTGTGTGCACTTGTACGTATACACTTATGTGTGTGTGTGTGTGTGTGTGTGTGTGCTGTCTTCTTCTATTCCAACAAGCAATCCTTCATGTCATCGTAAAGGAGTGGCCCTCTTTATGCCACCAAAACATTCCTTGCTCGGTGCTGGTGAAGCTTGGAAGACGGGCTCCGCGCCGGGAGCCGGTCGTTGTCGCTGATCTGCAGGACATGCCAAAGACAGTTTGACAGGAAGAAAAGACCGAAAAAAAAAAGAAAAGAAAGAAAACTCCAGAATCCCTATACTCTTTATATGTTCCCAAACCAATCGGCCGATGAAAGACAAAGGAGAAACCATAAACGCAGGCTTGGCTTGGTCCATATTCAACTACGCGACAATGCAAAAGAAGGCCATATTCGGCGAGAGGAAGAGGCAGACAAAATGTCGAGATAAGGCATGGTCAAACAGTGACAGCCGGCGCTTTGGAGCTAGCCCAGCGAGACTTCTTCGACAGCTTGCCTCCGCTCTTGGAGAATCTTTTGGACTTTTTGACACTCTCAGGCTCGGGGATTGAATCCTCTTCAGGGAACACGTTGATGACGATGGCCTGCCTCACCACAGGGGCGGCAGTGGAAGTTGGGGCAGCAGCGGGGGTGGGAGCCACAGTTTGGTCGGTCTTGGGAGGTGCAGCAGCCACCGCTTCGGCACCAGACTCAATCCGCTCCAGCTCCGTGAAGCGAGTGACTTTCGCGGCCTTGCGCTCCTTGGAGTGCGTCCCATTGTGTTCCGGGGAGGGGCTGCTGTCCGTCGACAGAGGGGCGGAAGCGGAAGTCAGGGTCGTGGCAGAGGTGTTGAGACTGGCGTTGATAGAGCTTGAAAGCGAATATTCAGACGTCTCCAGCGAGCCCGGCAGTTCCAGTTGCGGATGAGTGTATGTCCGTACAACTGGAGCGGGCGCATTAACAATGGGCGCGATGGAGGCGAAGCCCCTCATGGACGTGGGCGGGCGGGACTCCCGAGCGGCCCCCTTGGCCGAGTTTGCCATGGCGATTCGCTCAATGGATGAGTCGGACGGGCGGCGGTGGCCGGCACGCGGTCGACGACCTGCCTTGCCGACAGCTGCTGTAAGGGGCGGCGGAGCCCGCACCACGGGGGGGCGCGCGAGCCTCATCTCGAGGTCATCTTGCGAACTCGTAGAGCCGCTGGAGCTCTCTGATTCTTCTGGGCGTCGGAAGAAGCTGGTTAGCATCTTGCGGATCAAGGCGCACAGAGGCAGTAGCGGAGGACAGCGGCGACGAACCTTGCGAGGACGTTGGGCTGGTCCGGGGCGTGCTGTAGCCAGAGACGGACACCCGGACGGCCTCCTTGCCTTTGGTCGAGGCGGCATAGGCCGTGAACTGCGAGCCAACGTCGGGCATCGAGTGGGCGACGTCGCGGCTGTAGCTTGCCGAGTAGGGCGACACGCCTGTGTAGCTGTACGCTCGGGGCATGCGCATGGGCGTGGCACTCTTGTCCGTTGGGTACGAGACGTGTGACAGGCTGCTGCCCACGCGAGGCGCGCCCGGCATGTTCATGTGATGGCCCGACGCCGCCATGGCACTCCTCCGCCGGTTCTGCTCCTGGATCTTCTGCCGGTCGGCCTCTCGCCAGCTGGGCGGCGCGCTGGCGATGGCATCCGTGGCCGCGTGCGTGGGGACATGCCGGTAGGGCGTCTTTTCTGTATTCTCCTTCTTCTCCTGCTCGGCAAGCTTGGCATTGTGCTCCTTGGCCTGCTGGCGGCTCTTCTTCATGCGCGAGAAGATGGACATCTTGACTGTGGCTCCTGCGTGGCAATTCTCCTTCTGTCACTGGCCGTGCTCCCACAGGCAAGACGGACTCGATCACAGTGTCCTCAAGGTTCACAGGCCCTGGATATATAGTTGTATGTGTGTGGTGCAACAGGTCGGTCCGTTGGTGGTGGTGTTAAAGTAACCGGGGTATGGTAGAATAGGTAAGGTAGGTAAGCTAACAGGGTAGGAATGCGAGCAGCAGCGAGAGGGTGGCTCCGCTCAATATGTAAGCTCCGGAAGAGAGGGGAGTGATGCAACAGATGTTGATATGTCGAGCGTCGATGCAGATCTGACGGATGACTGGTCCAGGGCAGTGGTGACGGGGCTGGGAGGGTTGTTGATCTCGTCGTCGTTGGAGGGTACCAAGATGACGATGGTGATTGTAGGGACTATCGTTGTTGTTCCTACTCCGTCCACGCAGGTAGTGGAAGGTAGAGGAAGGGTGGAAGGAAATGGGAGGTCCAATTCGACAAGGCGATTGTCGAAGCGGTATTTGTATCCAACCAGAGGAGAATGGCAATGCGAGGTAGCTTGATAGGTATCGGCTAGGGCCACGCCTTCGGAGAAAGCTTGCCGCACACGATACGGAGAGGCAGAGGGGCGGCTTATATGTAAGTGAGTGGGTGGATCGGATGAGATGCGAGGGATGAGATAATGGACCGGGACTCTCTCTATTCGACGGATCGAGCGCAAGACGGGTCTTGCTCGCCTTGGAAGCAGGCGTCGGAGCCGGGTTTGAGAGCACGACCTAGGGCGTGGTGGTGTGGTTCGGCTTGGGTAAGCCCGGGCTATGGGAGTTGAGACACGGAACCAAGAATAGAAAGCAGATCAAAGGGCAGGAGGGGGAGAAGAGCAGTCAAGATATGCGGAGGAAGAGGAGCGAAGGAAACGGATCGGTGTTGAGCCCCAGCCCTACATATGCCAAGTAGGAGAGGGAAATCGAACCCCTGGGGAGCTGAAAAATACGACGCGCAGATTGGGGGGAGGGATCCTCGGTGCGGGTTGCCGAGGATGGCGTATGAAGAGAGAAGAAGACGAGGAGACGAGTGAGAGAGGGGGGCGAGTGGGTGACTGAGTAAAGTAAAGTAGGTACCTAGGTCGGGGAAGAGAGGGGGCCCAGTATGAGATAGGTAGCTGCTGCAAAGGCATACAGAGGCATGAGGGCAAGGTACGAATTCGGAGGAAAAGGGCCCTATGTATACGAGGCAAAGAGGTATGGATGGCACTGGATATCTGGAGAATCGGGGGCTGCTGATGCAGTGCCGATGCAGTGCAGATGGGAGCGAGAATAGTTGCACTCTGTGCGCCTAAGCGTCGAGTGCTGGGCGCAGCTGAGAGACAAGGGTCCTCTATAAGGTACCTACCTACCTGGTACCTAGACATTACGGTACCTAAGGTAGATAAGTAACTACCTCATCTTAGTAGATTTGTACATGCATGTATGCATCCTGTATGTACGGCTACGGAGACGCCTTGCCGGCCACTTCCAGTTGGCTAGGTACCTGATAACAGGGAAGAGAGCACCGAGAGATGTACTGTACAGCCTGAACAATTTACCTCCCTCGCTTTTAGCAGATGAGATGGCTTGCAACGGGGGGCGCAGGTGGTTGGCCAAGGGCATAGCCGTTTGCCAGAGGAGAGATGCAAATGCGGCTGACTCGAGGGATGCGTCGTAAGACTCTTGCAGGCCGGTGGCACACGTGGTTGCAGGAAGGCTGTACGAAGAAGTTAGGGCAGTTACCTTAGTACCTAAAGTAGCCCGGTACTTCGTTCCGCATCCAGAGATCCTGGGACCGACGCCGGGCACCGCTACATGATGCCTGCAGTGCTCGTAGGTATGTAGTGATTATATCCACATTACCGGACAGTACCTACCTGTAGCTGTGCAAACCCGTCTGTTCGCCATGCAGCGTCATCGACACCTCTGGCTTTATCAGACATTTGGGGCTCGGAACAGCCTGGTGACTAGTCTCACCTTCAAGTTAACTTCTCGAGGTACCCAAAGTAAGGTGACTGTTTTCAAGGTTTCCTACCACAACAGGTAGCTGAGGGATTCCGATGACGCCAACGCACGACAACGGCCAGCAACTGCACTACTAGCACCCATACATAAGTCCCGTGTTTGGGGTCTTATCTTTTTGTCTTCTCTGATCCGCCATGTCTCACTCGAACAATGGCCTCATTGTTGGAGGAGTATGTAGAGGGTGAGACAAGGAGACGCCATGATTCATCTTCAACGTGGTTGACAACCTTGAACTGCCTCGCAATTATGACTCGTACTCGTACCTGAACACGATAGAGAGAAGGAGGGTCCCTTTCAAAGTCAATTGCCCGCTAACCTGCCATCAAGTGCTGGTACCTGTGAGATTCGAACTGGAGACTGGAAGCCACGGTCCAGATGGGTAGGTCGTTGGGCAGGTAGGCCCCTGCCAGCGACTGCCCCAAAGCCGTTACCGTCACCGTTCGGGGCGGCGGCAGCCCGCTGGACTAGGCACTAGACAAGAAATGGCGCGCTAAAAGCTTCCGCGCAAAGCGTAAAAACTGGCGATGCGATCCCACTAGCGAGGCCAGGCCCAGGTACCCCGATTGATGGCGGTGGGACTCTGTGAGTTGTCTCTTGATATTGACGTCGAGACTGTTTATGTGCGGATAGTGCCTACCTTATATTGGTGATATTGGTCATCGAACAAATCCCACTGGGACGAGATGGTAAGATCCCTAGGTAGGCAGGTGCCCCAGAAGCTACCTACCTACCCAGGTGAGGTCGAGTTTTGTAGAGAAGAAGTAGAGACCTCGTAAATCTTTCTCAATGGGCGGCGACACACGGCTCTTTCGTCAAACACCACCAGGAGCAATCAATATTTCCATGCACAATCAAAAAGCATCGCCACCACCACCATTTTCACTTCAATTAGTACCTGAGGCTACAGAGCAACCATTAACCCCCAAGGGCTCACCTGATCACCCAATGGCCACACGGAATTGGTCATGTTCCCCTTTCTGTCGTCGAATTGTGAAACACCTCACCTGGATAGACCAGTTTGGGTCTGACAACCATCTCCGCCCCCCAGCTCCATATCTCATTCATCTGACATATACATGTACAGAATCGCTCGCTCGCTGTCGCAACTACAACATCCAAGTACCTAGGAAGCGCAAGACTCTATTCAGATCAGCATCGCAGACGAGAATTATCAACTTTGTGCCCTTCGCCCGCATTTCGCTATCTTCCACCCCCGCGTCTCGCCCATCCGCTATCAATACCCTATGCCCTTTGTCCATGTCGTCAAGTTCCACCGCCCGCAGCGCCGAGCAGCAAATCAACGCCTGCAGCAGGTATGGTGACGCCGAAAAGCTGCTTCTCTGGCTCCAAAAAGCAAGGAAGGCCCCAGAACCAGCTGCAGCAACTGTTGCTCGCCATCTCGTATTCCGCTCACGGACCCCCCAACCCCCCCAAGCGGCTGCCTATCATGTGCGAGCAGCTCTCCGTATAAGCTGCGCGCTCGTTACCAATCATCCCCCGGATCGCGAGCGACCTGATGCCCGAGTGGAAAAGCCGACATGCCAGCGACTTCCAACCAGCGGCACTCTGTCCAGCATCATGCTGTCCGATGATAGCAGCAGTAAGTACTTGGTACGATGGATGCTATAGCGGTCCATACCTGTACCTAGGAGGCCGGGGGTAGTTTTGCAGCAGACTTGCAGCCATCATTTTTGTCCAGCAGAGTGCCTTTAGAGCAAGGCCTCTTCCGCAACACTTTTCATTCGTTATAATGCATATTGTGTAATGATTTTGAGCCTAGAATGGTGGAGAAAGGCTTGCGTAATAATTTTCAGTAGTAAAAGTCTGGCAGCTGTAACATAATTCCTTAAAAAACAGCATGAAATGGTTATTCGCAAGAGCCATAGTCTAAAGGCACTCTGCTGGATAAAAATAGTGGCTGCAAGTCTGCTGCAAAACTACCCCCGACCTCGTAGGTAGTAGTCCGAATTGCATAGCGTACCTTGGGTAGGCGCTTACGGGAGCCCTGCAATGGCTTTCTTGGCTGAATTCCCGCTCCAACAAGCTACATACGCGGCTTGGCAGAGCTGAGAGGCATCAAACTTTGGAGTTCCTGAATTCATCGAGGCCAGCGAAACGTGCTCGATCCCTGTCAATATTGAGTGGGCGGGATAGCGCCGTCAGTCCAGCCGCACGCACGCTAAATCAGCCGACGTGAACAAATAGCAACAAGGGAGTTTACGGCAACCTCCGTGGCTCCGAACCAACCTGGGATCTCCGTGGCATCAGGTAGATGCCACTTCATACATGTACCTAGGTACGGCATCCCTCCTGCCATGCAGCAAGCCAAGTGGCTTGAGGTAAGGTAGTACTATCACGAAGCAGTGCCGGAGCTTTGACATGGAACGATGATGCATTGAGGCCCTGACCCCATGCTTCTTGCACGTTGAGGTATGCGGTGCCCGTACTTGGCGATGCGACTTTACATCCATCGTAGGCATCTGGTCTCGATTTCAACGATCAGGCATGTCAGGTAGAAAGCCCCCCAAGCGTCGCTGGTGACGCGGCCGTGCTCTCATACAGGAATCATGTGTATACATATGTACGAGGTGCTCGCTCACTGGTCTCTCTCCTCCATCTTCTCTGCCGTCCCCCCCTATCGGAAGAAGCTGCTCTCTACCCTAGCACGGTGGACCGCTGCCAGCGAAAACCGGGTCTTTCGATGCCAGCTGAGAAGCAAAGGGAGACTCAAGGAGGAAAGGTGCCGCTCTGCCGCTTGGCTCTGTGATAAGGCAGAGACCAGGAACGCTATCATTGGATGTTGGAGGCTGGTAGGCTTCCAGCAGCAGCCTCTATCACAACGCCACAAGGAACGTGGCAGTTTCTGTGGGTGAGACTGGAAGCGACTGAGCTGTCAACCACCGCCAAACGACTCCATCCTGCGCATGTACTGTACTTTGTTCTGCAGAGAGTATCT